GCCACCTCACTTTCTTGAAAGATTTCAATTTTTATTCCATAAATTCCTGGTGCCTTGTTCTTTGCCACTTCTTTCAATGCACTTTGGACTTCCTCCTTGAGTATCATTGGCTCTTGTTCATATGGTATCTCTTGAAATGGTTGAACGTTAACCATTTCCTTTTGGTACAATGACTGTGTATTTCTTCCATCTTCTCTTGATGCATTCTGCATCATTCAATAATTTGCCCAGAGAATCTTCAGTTCCCTCAGCTTTAGAAATGCTGAACGTGTTCTTCCCTTTTGGTTTTCTAACTCTACATCTTTGCATATTTTATTATAGTATTTGGCTTTATCTTCTTGAGCTGATCTTTGAAATTTTCTGTTCAGCTCTTGAACCTCTTCAATTCTTCTAGATTAGAGTTGTTAAGTAATAAGACTTGATGAGTTAAATGATTTGGTCACAATGGCATAATGAATTGTGACACAGTTTAGATAATAGATCCAAGTTTTGGAAAGTAATATTTATGACAAACCTGGTGAACAAGTATAAGAGAACTTCAAAATGTTTATAGAAAAATTCTAGTATTATTTAATTTTATATTTCCATGAAATTTTTGAAGCCTCATTGTTGTTTATCTTGATCTTTACATGCATGAAAATAAACAAGATAAAGGATAAAATATGCTGTCTACTTAGAACAGTAAACAGTACTCTATACTAGGAAAGAAGATGAATGATTACTAAGGGCTGGATACTCAAGGGCATTGTCTTTAAAAGAACAAAGAGGTAACCTGGTTGTTACATGCTCATATGTTATAGGAATGTGATGGCTCTGTACAATCAGCACTGGACTATGAACACAAGGTCAGCTTCTCAGCGGAAGAAAACTGAGGCTTTCTGATCTCCAAAGATTTAAAGCCTAGGGAACAGAATTGGCTCAAAAGCACTTAACCACAACAATGATATGCTTGTACACATTTATCAAAACTTATTGATTTATAGTAAAATGGATACATTTTATTTCATGTAAGATATACTAAGAAAATTTTGGTAGCATTGTGTTTATGAGTCAGACTGCTAACCGTAAGGTTAGTTCAAAACTACCAACCACTCCACTGGAGAAAGATGAGGCTTTCTGCTCCCGTAAAGATTTATAGCTTCGGAAACCCTATGCAAGATCTCTGTGAGTTGGAACCAACTCAATGGCATACCACCACCACCACCAAGATATATGTAAACAAAGTAAGTTTCCAAAAGATCCTACAATGTGGTATTACTAATTGCCAATCAAGCAACAGTAAGAAAGAATCAAAGAAGCCGAATCATCCAAAGCACACAACATCAACCTTGAGGAACAGATTCAAAATCAACTATCCTACACTGGTATCCATTATGGCATAGTGTCTCCCCAGGGAGCTGCTATTTATATGTAGGCTTGATTTTCTTCAGCCCAAATAAAAGAAACACGGTCTAAGCAGAGTCCACAAATTGTCAAGTTGATTTGTCCTTTTATCTGTGTTTCCTTTCAGTATTAATGAATATTTAGAGATGTACTATCCAGAGTCCCGGTGTGGTGCTGCAAGAGTATATACTGGACTGCAAGAATAGTTAGAACCACAAAGTTGGTGATCCAAACCCAGCAACCACTAATCAGGAACCTCATACAGGGCCATAAGGGGCCAGAACTGACTCATTGGCACTTAAGAACAATAACAACAATCCAGAATTTCATTAAAAAAAGAAAGAAAGAAAGAAACTCATACATGGATTCTAAAATGTGAAGTTTTCTCCATATTTCAAGATCTATGAAGTCAGGATATATTTTACAAGTTCATTAGCCAAGCAACCATGAGGACATGGCTGTCACAGCATGACCATGCTCATCAAAACTTGCCAAATAGGACTTATTTTCAATCAATTCACACTATAGCTGGTATTTAACAAGTCTTCCCATTGAAAACATCTATAATACTGGACCAAATACATATGAAACAGTTTATAGGAATTAAGTATCCCAGGATTGAGCTTCCTGAGATAAGAAAACAAAACAAAGTATATCACATTTAATGAAGAGCAGCTGTTCAGGCAATGAGGAGACTCGATGTACAACAGAACAAACAATGCCCAGTCCTGTGCCGTCCTAACAATTGTTGTTAGGCTTGAGCCCATTGTTGCTGCCACTGTGCCTATCCATTGTATTGGGAATCTTCCTCTTTTTCATTGACCCTCAACTTTACCAGGCATGAAATTCTTCTCTACAGACAGAGTCTCACTGTTCTTTCTTCTAAGGAATAGTCCGGCTATACTTCTTCCAACACAGATTTGTTTGTTCTTCTGGCAGCCCATGGTACATTCAATATTCTTCTGCAACACTATAATTCAAATTCATAAATTATTATGCAATACTTCTTGTTCATTGTTCAATTTTCAAATGCATATATGGCTATTAAAAATATCACGGCTTGGGTCAGATGCATCTTAGTCGTCACACTGATGTCTTTGCTCTTGGACACTTTTAAGAGATCATGTGCACCAGATTTGCCTAAATGTATTAACCAATATGTAATTTGGTTTCTTGATTTCTGTTTCTGTGAGTCTTGATTGAGGGTCCAAGCAAAATAAAGTCTTTGACAACGTTAATTTTTTTCTCTATTTATCATAACATTATTGATTGGTCCAGTTGTAAGCATTCTTGTTTTCTTTACAATGAGGCACAGTCCATATTGAAGGCTGAGTGTGGTCTTTGATCTTTATCGGTATGTATTTTAAGTCCTGTTTGCTTTTAGCAAGTAAGGCTCAATTATCTGCATATCACAAGTTGTTAATGAGCTTTCCTCCAATCCTGATTGCACAATCTGCTTCATATAATCCAGCTTCTTGGATTATTTGCTGAACATACAGAATGACTGCATATAGTGAAAGAATACAGCCTGGTGCACATCTTTCCTGATTTTAAACCATTCAGTATCATCCCTTCTTCTTTTTAAACAACTGCCTCTTGGTCTATCTACAATCAATCCTTACAACTAGTCTCAATAAATTTTAAAAATTAGGATCATAGACCACAGGTTTAGAAAACAGTGGAATTAAATTAGAAACAATAACAAAAAACAATAAAATATCTATAAAATCCTCAAACATATGGAAAATTAAGCATATTTTTAAAGAAGATAAAGTCAGTAAGGGGATAAGAAACTATTGTAAAGTGAATGATAAGAGTATCAAATTAGTGACTTTGAAAAAAAAACAATGTTTAGGGGGAAATGCCTAGTTTTAAACATTTGTTTGAGAAAAGTGGTCCAGAGAAAATACACTAGTCCCTATAGCTCGAAGGTCTTGATCTACAGATTGAAGTTTAAGAGACCATGACCATTCCATCCAGCTCTCGTACCACTCTCACCCCCATTAACACACAATCAAATTGATAAGAAAGAAATTGTTATCCTAACCATTAGTTTCTGTTCTTAACTCAAGAAATCATAGGAAGGACACATTAAGATGTGTTCCTTAAAGATCTACCACAGACTGACAGATTGGTGGGCTTAATAATAGACTCATTCAAGTAACAGAGCTGAGAGCATGTTCATGCCATTTACATCTGTAAACAGTAAACACCAGTCTCAGCCCATAGCACTTTGCAAGATGTAGTCTAGAGCAGAGTTTCTCAAACGATAATGTGTTTAGAGATCACTTGGGGATTTGGATAAAATGCAGACTTTGATACATGAGATCTGAGCTGCATTATATGGTTTTATATTTCTAACAAGTTATAAGGTAAATGGCAATGCTACGGGAATGTGGAGCAAATATTGAGGAGCAAGGACCTTGGGTAATAAATGCATCTCACTTTTCCTCAGTATGAGTGTTTCACTTGATATATCAAGACATATCCATAGAAATTACAAAAAATCACTCTCACAATGTAAAGACAATTTTAAAGTCATGGTTTATTAGCTAGTGGAAGCATTGCCACCTTAGTGACCATATTTCGTCTGAGGACATTCTTCAAGGCCTGCTTTACATCTTTGTTCCGAAGACTATAGATCAATGGATTAAGCACTGGACTTACAAAGGTGTAGAAGACAGCTATTATTTTCGATTCCTCAACAGTCTTATCTGTTGGTGGTCGTACATACATACAGAAGAGTGTCCCGTAGAATAGGGTGACAGCCATCATATGGGAACCACAGGTAGAAAATGCCTTGTGCCTTCCCTCTGCTGATTTGATCCGGAGGATGGCAGTAATAATAAAGGCATAGGACACCAAGATGATGGTGAGGGAGCTGGAGAGATTGAAACCAGCAGAGATAAGCATGGCATGTTCTTTGATATACGTATCAGAGCAAGACAGTTTAATGAGTGGTGGGTCAGCACAGTAGAAGTGGTTAATGACATTGGATCTACAGAAGGTCAAGCTGAAAGTCAGGATGGACTGGAACAGCCCATCTGAGAAACCATAGACATAAGGAAAAGTGGCCAAACAGATACAGACTTTCCTGGACATTTTCACGCTGTAGCGCAGTGGGTTGCATATGGCCATGAAGCGGTCATAGGCCATTGCTGCCAGCATGTAAAACTCAGTGAGTAGCAGCGCGATGAAAATGTAACACTGTGTAAAGCAGCCAGCAAAGGAAATGGTCTTCTTCTCCGATAAGAAATTAGTTAGCATCTGTGGGGTTGCATTTGAAGTGTAGCACAAGTCCACAAAGGCTAAGTTAGTGAGGAAGAAGTACATGGGGGTGTGAAGGCGAGAGTCTAGTCTGATTAACAGGATCATGCCCAGGTTACCTAGGAGAGTGACAAGATAAACAAGCAGGAATATTACAAAGAGCAGAGGCTGGAGTTCTGGGCGATCTGTGAGCCCCAGGAGAATGAATTCTGCCATCACACTGCCATTATTAATGGGCATTTTCTGTGGGTAAGTGCCTGTTTCTAAAGCAGAAGAAAATAAAGCAAACATAAAAATACAAATCACGTTTAATTAAAAATTTATTTTCTTTATGCTTCCATATGCTATCCAAATTTTGTTTGCTTAATTCTGCCAGAATCAATTTTGTACTTCTTCTAACCCATCATTTCATTTGCCTTTTTATTAAAGTACATGTTTTAATCTTTATATCTATACTTTTAACTACACAAATAACTGTACCTGTGTCTATACTTATATCAATGTTTTTCCTTCCAAGGTTAGAATTCAGCCAATCATTCTTAAACAGAGCTACTACCTGTCTATTGGAGTCCTGGTGTGGCGCTGTGGGTTAATGCACTAAACTGCAAAGTCGGTTTGAACCACAAGGTCAGTAGTTCAAGCTCACAAGTTGCTGCTTAGAAACCCTATACAGGGTCACTATGGGTCATAACTGACTTGACAGCACTTATCAACAGCAGCAATACTTGTTTATAAGTGCAGTGGAGGCTTATGTTTTGTACAATACTGAAAAGATTTCAGTGATGTTTACAGAGTAAAACAAACTAGGAGCAAAGGACTGGCAATCTTCAGAAACCAAGCCAATGAACTGAGAAAAACTAAGAATGGGGGGTTTCAGATTAAATAAAGAGAAGATGAACATTAAGAAATGACAAGAAGTCAGACATGAATTATATGTCATTTAATGATTAAATGGCCACCTGTAGGATCTGAAAGCATGTTGAATCACACGCTCAGTTACCTGTGTAGGACCAAGAACTACACAATATAAAGCAAACAGAAATGACAAAAAGTGGACACAAGCAAAAAAATTTACAGAAAATCACAGTAGGCACAGCTGCTGTTTTAGAAGAGATTCAAAGAAAAGAACTTTCAGGATAAGGGACTCAGGGTTTCGTTGGTTACAGCAAGGGAGCATCCCTACCTGATGGAGGGATAACAGCAGAGTCATCCCAGGAGAAGACACATCTAATGAGTGGAAGACCAGGAATTAGGACCAGCTGCGAAATCACAGGACAGTGCAGGAAACAAAAATGTGGGGTTTCTTGGCCAAAAATGACGGGGAATGTAGAGACATTGGAGTAGAGGCATCAAATTACTTAAATAATGTTTGGCACCTTGTGTGAGGGCACAGTTTACATGCTTATGATGATAGGCAAGTTTGGATCATGGAAACCTTTTGAGCTGATAATGGGAATGTGGTGGTGAAGAAAAAAGAGCCCATCATTAAACAAATAGACAACAACAAAGAACAGGAAAAAGAGACCCCGAAAGAGTAAGTTTCAGTTGAATGAGGAAGTGTTAAAGGATAAACCACCTCAAGGAGCTGGCTGTCTAGGTACAATTTGCAGTCTATTTAATTTTATGAGAATGAGAAAGTACTTTTAAGAAGAGTAGACCCGTTCCCTAAGGTATCCTAGACTGTGATTTTTATAGGAACAGATCAGTTGGTCTTTTCTTCCACAGAGCAGCTAAATCACCAACCTTTCAGTTAGCAACTGAGCACTTTAAACATTGTGCCACCAGAGAACAGTGCATAAATGTAATGTTGTTGTAGAGTCCTAGCGTGGCTCTGTTGGATAAAACACTATACTGCAAGGTTGGTTTGAACCACAAGGCTGGCAGTTCAAACTTACCAGTGACACCTTGGAAACCCTGTACAGGGTTGCTATGATTTGGAACTGACTCAAAGCCACTTAACAATGAATGCTGTTGTTATTAAGTGCCTATTCTTTGTTGTTGTCTATTTGTTAAGTGACTGGGTCTTTTTTCTTCACCACCATATTTCCATTATCAGCTCAAAAGGTCATAGTGACCCTGTGTAGGGTTTCCAAGGAGCAGCTGGTAGGCTTGAACTGCTGGCCTTGTGACTTGCAGTCCACTGCTTATCCAACAATGCCATAATAGCCAGTCACTTTTTAAGAAGTGGCCCTTAGGTAGACTAAAACATCATGTAAATATAACTGACTCACTTACAATAAATGCAGGAAAGCATGCAGTAAAAATTAATTGACTGGATTCGATTTCTGGTATTGCCTCAAGAGTATATAAAAGTTTATGTTGCCCGAAACCACAGATAAAACTAATTCCTTTGTTAATCTGTTTTCAAAGTTATTTTCTTTTTGTTGTTGTTATCATTAAGTGCTGTCAAGTTGGTTCTGACTCATAATGACCCTGTATAGGGTTTCTGAGGAATGGCTGATGAATTTGAAGTGTCGGTCTTGTGACTCAAACCGACCTTTTGGTCCAGTGCTTATCCTACAGTACCACACCAGGACTCGTTTTAGAGGATCTATAATAGATGGGGCTAATTCCATCTCCTTCCCATTGCTTTCTCCTCCTTCTCCCTCCAATGATAATTTTGGAATGTTCTAACTGTGAGTAAAAGAGAAGAAATGTAGGTTATAAGGTGCTTACCAAGATGGAGGTTAAGGAAATACCTAGTTCCCTAGGGCATAAGGAAAACAAAAGAAGTGTAGATGGTATTCAGGCTGAAGATGAGGCCAGAGCCAGCAGACAGTCTTGAGCCTTGCTTAACACAAGCACCTCTCAGATGGGTCAACACTCATCTTAGCTGTACATCAGTACACAGTTTATTAGGGAGACAGTCCTTTTATGATCAAATGCCCATGACTGTTGTACTAGAACTCCATCAGGCTGGAGGTTCTTTCTGTGCTCAAAGTAGAATTATCTCAAATTAACAATAGTTTGGGATGGATATAGAACGTATATCCAGCTCTTTCAAAGCTAACTCTCTGAAAAAATGTGTGTCACGTTTAGCTTAGTTACAACCTTTGACAAATAAATGAATCAATTTAGATTATGTCAGGTTGCTTCTGTTCTAAAATTCAGAAAGATGAGTCAAAGTTGTAGTATTTGGAAGATCAAACTTTTGTGAATATAATTCTAAACAATTTATTCTAATTATGGCTCCAACAATTATGAACAGCATGGTATTGGCAAAATATTTAACCTGTATGACATCTGTTTGCTCAACTGTAACGTGGTAAATGGGACTGAGATAAATAAAATAGTACACTTAAGTAAAGCTTTGTATAAAGTAAGTATATAATGAGTGCTGGTACAAATAGAGTTAACACATATCAAAGATGAATCTCTTCATTTCTTCTGCTTCTTTACCCACAGCTACTGAGAGAAAACTTGTAAAGACAAAGCTCAAGATTCATATGCCTCATTGCCTTGCAGTGAGTTTTCAGGTGGACGTCCAGGTAAGGCTGCATGTAATGCAAACACTTCCTGTTTAAAACTAAAGTTTATAAAGACACAAAGACTTACTTTTGATTCTGGCAGGCACTGATTTTTTTCAGTCTTTCATTAAGGAAGTTTCCTGATAACCCTTTTCACTGCAAATGAAGCTGCATTTATAGAAGAATAAGGAAGGTGGGATGTGCTCACTAAAGCAAATCTCAAAAGAACTGAAGAGCAGGAGCAAACAGTATTGAATCATGAATCACCCCTCTTGGGTTTAATTGGAACTCCCTGACATTAGGAAGGCAATCATATGCCACAACCACATTTCCTATCACTTCAAATTATCATTGTTTACACTAAATGCTCCATGGAAAGCTTGCCAAGAAGCTTCCTTTTAAGCAAAACAATATCCTTTCTTTAAATCTGAGCTTATAATTTATTACGTACTTTCTGTGAACACAAATTTGAGCATTTTTAGCTATAAACATAATTGTTCAACAAATGTTGTAATACAGCAAATGTATTGCTGAGCACTTTCTATATGTCAAGCACTTTCACTCAAGTAGTTTAATTGATTAATCAAAGTAATCCTGTGAGATAGTAACTCTATATTTCAGTTGTCAGATAAAGGAAAAGGGCTCCACTGAAAAAAATATTGGCAGACTAGCAGATTTAAGTTCCTGGGTGATGCAAATGGTTTACATGTTCATCTGTAAATCAAAAGGTTAGCAGCTCACAATCATCCTGAAGTGCTTCAGAGTAAAGGCCTATGAGCCTATTTCTTTGAAAAACAACCCGTAAAAGACTATTAGTGGAACAATAATACAAGATGGTGGACTAAGCATCTATATGATCAAGACCCACTACAACAAAGACCCAAGAGACCAAGTGAAACAATTAGAAATGACACTTCTGGAGCCCTGAGTTTTAAAAGGATGGAAAAAGGAGTAAATCAAATGTCAATACAAAGAGACTGAATGAAAACAGCAATTAGGGAGCCTTATCTTGTTGTTAGGTGCTATCGAGTCGGTACTGACTCATAGCGACCCTATGTTCAACAGAACAGAACACTGCATGGGCCTGGGCCAACCTCACAATTGTTGCCACACTTGAGCACACTGATGTTGCAACTTTAACAATCCATCTCACTGGGGTCTTCCTCTTTTTTTCTGACCCTTCACATTAACAAACATGATATCCTTCTGCAGCAACTAGTATCTACTGACACTATGTCTGAAGTATGAGAGATGAAGTTTGGCCATCCTGGCCTTCAAGGAGCACTCTGGATGCACTTCTTCCAACACAGATCTGTTAGTTCTTTTGGCAGCCCATGGAACTTTCAATATTCTACTCCAACACCATAACTCAAAAGCATCAATTCTTCTATGGTCTTCCTTATTCACTGTCCAGCTTTCACATGCATATGAGGTTATGGAAAATACCATGGCTAGGGTCAGGCACACCTTAGTCCTCAAGCTGACATCTTTGCTCTTCAAAACTTTAAAAAGGTCTTGTGAGGTAGATTTGCCTAAGGCAATATGTCGTTTGATTTCTTGACTGCTGCTTTCATGAGTGTTGGTAGCTGATCCAAGAAGAATGAAGTCCTTGACAACTTCAATCTTTTCTCCATTGATTAGAATGTTGTTTATTGGTGCAGTGGTGAGGATTTTTGCTTTTTTTACACTGAGATGCAATCCATACCAGCAAAGGCTGTGGTCTTAGACCTTCATCAGTAAATACTTTAAATCCCCTTCACTTTCAGCAAGCAAGGT